CGCTGACTTCCGGGTTGCCTCGGCTGCGGTGGCGTCTTCGAGAACGTCGGCAAGGGCGATGTCGCCTTTGGCCATCAATTGGCTCTGGAGGACCGGATCTCTGAGCCCCAGGACGACGCGGTCTCGGAGTGCCTCGTCCATGTCCGTGAAGCCACACATGCCTCCGAGGTTCCGCAGATCGGCCACGAAATCACTGATGCTCTCACCCGCTCGCTGGTCTCGTCGGTAGAAGTCGTACCGCCGGATGAGGGTGGGCACGTCGGGAGCATAGTGGTTTCGGAGCAATGGTTCGAGATCGGCCCAGTCCATTGTTTTCACGTCCTCTGGTTTCGCGAGGGCTTTCGCCATTTTAAACACTGCGGGCCCGCAGTGCGTGAGGAAGACCGCTCTTTTCTTCTGCCCGTTTGCATCCTTTAGATTGCTACTTTCGAGGAACATCAGGAATCGGTCGGTGTACGATTCCCAATCCTCAGTAGCTGGGTTAAAAGGTGCGGGCGGTACGATGCTGGCCATCTCGTCGGTCTCGCTTCCTCTGGACACGTGTATGAGGGGGATCAGTTTTGGTATCCCATCCTCGTCGCCAGTGTCGTGTCCGTCGCAAGGAATGAGACTCGGAGCCAGTGACTTGGTTCAGCTCATTTATTAGGTATTAGGTCTCCGAGATCGGCTCGGCTCGAAAAGGGAAAAGCGGCGGCTTTTATTCTTTGGCCGCGGCGGCCGCGGCCAATGACAATGCTTTGAATCTCCCACGATTAGTTTCCACCAATTGCGGGAGATTCGCAGCGGGCCAATCAGTGCGGCTCGCTCGGCCAATCAGATCGCCGCGCATCTTGACCAATCGCCGCGTGGCATTTACGAGTATGTTAATGACTGTACAGAACAAGACTGATGATGATGAAGAAGAATACCAGAGTTGGAAGGGACCTTAGAGTCTTCTAATCTAGTCCAATCCCCTGTTCAGGAAATCCTTTGCTCAGGAAACCTGCTGTCCCACTGCTCAAGAAACCTTATACCATTTTAGGCAAACGGTAGTCCAATCTCTTCTTAAAAACTTCCAGTGTTGGAACATTCACAACTTCTGGAGACAAGCTGTTCCACTGATTAATTGTTCTAACTGTCAGAAAATTTCTCCTTAGTTCTAGGTTGCTTCTCTCCTTGATTAGTTTCTATCTATTTCTTCTTGTCCTGCATTCAGGTGCTTGGGAGAATAGCTTTTCCTGCTTCTTTATAGCAACCCCTGGGATATCAGAACACTGTTATCATGTCACGTCACCCTAGTCCTTCTTTTCATGAAACTAGACATACCCAATTCCAAAATATACTCTTCTTTATATGTTTTAGCCTCTAGCCCCCCCTCCTCCCCCAATCATTTTGTTGCTCTTCTCTGCACTCTTTCTAGAGTCTCAACATTTTTTTTATGTTGTGGGGACCAACATTGGATGCTGTATTTGAAGATTATTTATTTATTTATTTTTGTTTTATTTATTTATTAACTTTTTATGCTATTTATCTTTCCTATAAGGTGACATTTAAAATGTTTGCACCATACTGGAATAGTTGCAATCTCAAATTACTGGGATGATAATATGTTAATGAAGATGAATTACCATCATAATTTTATCTAGTATTTTGGTCATCTATTCAATGGCATTTGTAAATATACCATGTTCATTTATAATTTCATGATGACAATGACTGTAGATGTAGCAAAGTTTGACAACAGCCTCATGCAAAACTATAATCATGAAAATAATCTTACAAAACACAATAGTACATATTTTTGAAAAGATCTTTGTTATTTTGTTTGTCAGATCTCAAAGTTTCTGTAGGAACTGCTGTAATACATTTTTTAAGGTAGTATTTTGGCAGCTTTATGACGTGTGGGCTTCAACTCTCAGAATTGCTAGCTAGTATTCTAGGAATCCACACATCTTAAAGTTGCCAAAATTGAAAAAACAGTATTCTAATATATGAAATATTATGATGTGGTTCTACCCAGATCTCAAAATTGACTTTTTTAGGGGACTTTAAAATATTTTACTGTTTAAAGTAATAAGAGAAAAATACTTAGCATTATCCTAATAAGTAATGTATATATTAATAATCATGATCTTTAAAATAAAATGGAAGAAAAAAATTGGAAAATTATCAGCTTAATGAAACATACAATAAAATGACCATATTGCTCAAAAATCTTCTTTGTTGCACTTTTCAAAAATAAAATAAAAAGTTCAACAATATCCACATCTCTGGCATTGATTGTTCTGTCTAGTTTTATTTACTTCCCATGACTGAAAAATGCACAGTAGATCTCTTGCTAGATCCCAAACACTATAATGGCTATACTATACACTATAAGGATACACCCAAAAGCATATATGCATCATTAATACTGTGAATCTTGATCATACTATCTTTCAAATTGTAATCAAGAGCAATTGCTCCAGATTGCATATCTGTAAAAGACCCAAAACATGTTGTATATTAAGGAAACTAACAAGATTATTGAGCACACTTCAAGAATATTTCACTTAGATTTTCATGCATAAAACTCAATTTTAACCTATGGAAGATTTGCGATAAATATGTGCACAAGGTAACATATGCATGGTACACTATATTAGAAACTTTCATGATGTGATAAATTCAGCCTACAGATCTGAGAACTTGGATTAAAAAATAAACAGTTTTCCACATAGCAGATTAAATTTTACCAAAAAATGATGTAACTGCTGCAAATATATATTTAAAATGATGCACAAGGGCACAACTTCATAGAACATACAGGACATCATATCACCCAAATATGATCTATATTTTGCTTTATCGAAGAGCTTTTGAGAAAAATAATTATAAAGTAAAACCTTATGCAATGAAATTCAAAAGAGAAGATTGGAGGCTAGCAGAAAGCATCTGACTCAGCTTCAAAGTCTTTCAGAGTGCATATAATCAATGTTTGTCAATAGTAGTTTTACTCCCTTTAATTAATCTTTTGTGGATATAAAGCATGTTGATATTAGTTACACCTTATCCCTTCAGTCTGATTTTTCTTGAATCAGGAGTGTATTAAAATTCAGAGCAGCTCATTTTAGTCAAGGACAGATCACATAGAACTGTATTTATTACAGTCCTTTCATCTTTCTGTTTCTCTAACTACAAAAAACTTATTTAGGAAACTTTTATAGAACTGAGAAACAGTGGTACATATATATGGTATCTTATGCAGTGTGTGTGTGTGTGTGTGTGTGTGTGTGTGTGTTTGTGTGCTGCTAGCACCATATCAGTATCAATGTCCATGTTTTTTCTAGTTGTAAATTATTGTTTATATAATGATGTCAAAGGAAATTCAGTAGTTTTCAGTATTAAAGCTTAAATAATACTTCCATACATTGAGTCATGGCAACTGAACTTCTTTTCCTTTTGGTGTGAAACTTTTTGCTGCTTATTCAAGTAGCTTCTTTAATCTGAACAAGTTGCTTAGGGGTACCCCATATATGTTATCCAGAATGGTTTCATTTCTTACCTAGTCTAAATAGAGATTGTTAGGTAGGTAAGCTCCTAAATATTTTCTCCTAGATGGGTTATTGAGAATGGTCTCCTTGATGAACCTCTAATGTTGTCTTGATCTTCCTGGGAACTGAGCTCCTGGACAAGTCTCATTGTGTTGGTATCCAAATTGGGCCTTTATTAAATTAGCATCTGGATCCAACAAAAGAATGGCAGACAAAGCTAAGACTTGGAGTCGACAAAAGGACCTCTCATTTTTACATGATTGGTGTACCAGAGAAGCTAAAATGGATATTTGGAAAACACAACATATCTGTGTTCTTCAAACCCACCAGCACACTGAGACAAAGCTATATCTACCCAAAAGATTAAAAAATAAAAAGAGTAATGAAATTCATACAATTCATTGCAATGATGAATGTTCAGAGCTCTGCATTGGGGAAACCAGACAGCCTTTAATACAAGATAATGACCCAACACAGAAGAAGCAACACCACAGGACCAGCAGTACACCTTTATTTAAAAGAAAAGGGACACTCTTTTGAGGATAACAATGTTCACATTTTGGATAGGGAAACATAGATAATTTGAGAGAGGAGTGAAGGAATCAATTTATGCCAAAATGGAAATCCTTCCCTCAATAGAAGTGGAGGCTTCAGACACAACCTGTCCCCTGTTTTTTATGCTGCTCTTGCATCAGTCCCAAGGAAAATCAAGACTGCTTCACAGATTCATGAGGAAGGTCACACTTAACAACCCACCTAGGAGAAAATATTTAGGAACAACAACTTTTAATGTCTCTTTGCACCTACTCACCTAAAGAGTCTATTCAGATTAGGTGACAAATGTCCTAGTGGACATTTAGAGGATCCCCCTAATGAACTTGTCCAGACTGAAGAAGCTACTTGGATAAGCAACTAAATGTTTCAAACCAAAAAGAAAATAAGTCCAGTTGACATGACACAACTTCCAGACACCTCTCTACCTAGATGATTGAGAATCTTCATCAACATATTATTCCAAAATGAATTATGTAATGTACCACCATAAAGTTCTTCAGGGAATGAAAGCAACCAAAGAACAAATATCCACCATTGAAATTGGTGGTATTAGTATAGTATTCCTCTTTCTTCAATAATTGTGTTAAATGTCTAAACAAAAGGGCAGGATATACAAGTCTCAAAGTAACAAACCATCTAATTTAAGTAGTACTCACTTTTGATTAAACTGCACCTAACCATAATATAATGATTAACCAACGAACAGCATTGATCCAAATATATCTCACATTTTAGAAGCCAGTTTACTAAAAGCGATATCACAAATAAGTTAGATAAGTATGGCGACTCTCTTCCTTAGCCTCAGAAAAGACTTCTTAGAAGAAAACTTTCTATGCCAGTTGTATTTGCTAGTCCAGTGAGATCAAAATTGAAAGTGTGGTTAATGATTTGCAAAACCTGTTATTTAACAATTTAGGTTGAGAAACAGGAAAAAAATAGATACAAGAAAAAGCATATTCACAAACAGGAAGAAATCTGTTTAAAATAAGAATGGTTAATTGGTTTGTCTATTTGTCACTTCTCTCTCTTGTCTTTCTTGGAAATATTCCTGTTTCAGTAAGTATATTTATTTTAATGCCTTATTTAAAAGAGATTGATGAATTAATGTCATGCCCATATCAGACAACATTATGTTCTACTACTATATTGGCAATGCAGTAGCATTAGCACTGGAAATATTCTATCAGTAATCAGGAAATATATGTAGTCTAGATCTTTAAAGATTTCAGATTTATTAATGTTTTGTTGAAAATAAATGTCAGTTAATCTAAAGCGGGAATGAAAAGCAACCTTTGGAAAACAGACATGGCATTCCACCAAATAAAATCAATAAACAAATATTCAGCATTCCTTTTATATCTTCCTTCCCTTTCATATTTGTTTTCTTCTTCAAAAAAATAGATGCAAATATTTATTTCATTAATTAATTTCTTACAAGCAAACGTTGGCTTGCACTGAAGTAATAGGATGAGATTTTTGCATTTTTCTAGACCATTGTAGAATATTGTATACTTAACATAATTCTAACAGGGTCTATCATTCATGGGGAAATTGTAAAAAAAATTCCATCAATCAAAATATATTTTATATAGAATATATAGAAAAACTATTTTCTTAAGCATTGATGAAATGCAAAAGCAGGAACATTTTTAATAAAATAAATACATTTCTTTTTGTTTTAATTGAGCTGATCAAAATTTCTTAAAATAAATTCTGGAAGAAAGAATAGCAAGCATTCTGTGAGCTGATTATATTATTTGCCTCTGATGTTTCATTCCAAAATGAATTGCCAATTCAAATATTAAGTTATTAATAAAACTGTGATTCGTATGCATATTTGTGCATTTGTACTCTGTATGTGTTGAGAGAGCTAATGTTGTTATACTTACCCTCCTGAATGTGAGTACGCTGTACTACCCATGTTGAGGAGGATAAATATAACAACATTAGATCCCCCCTCTTTGTTTTGTATAATGGTTGAAATAGATTACAGCTGCAGACACCAGTCCATTAATCAATACTCTTAAATACCTCTTAAAATAATTTATCAAAAATACAAAAGGAAGTAAAAATTGTAGCCCATGCAGTTATAAGTTAGTATATATTCCTTACATTAATTATTATTTAACTATTAACTAATAAGGGCAAATTACAGATACCATCATTTTTCTTTCATCAAATATAGCAGTTTCTCCTTCCAGATTTTGCAACCATCTTTGTTCTCTTCAGTTAATGAAAGGAAATGAAGCTATAATTTTTGGCCCTACCTGGAACAGTCTCTAAAATGGAAGGTGTAAGTTGCAAACAGAAGTCTGTAATAAAAAGAGCAAGGCAATACCTAAGCATTGTCACTTCCTCCCTTGAGCCATGGCTTACACATTCTGCAAATTCAAGTAGCAATTAGTTCCCAGGGGAGACAACTGAAAATTACCACCTCACAAGGGTTTGGATTTCTTTTGTAAAACTAAAATAAGGGAAGACACTTATTTTATGTGCATATGTACTGCCATGAACTCCCAAGAGGACAGAAATATATGGTAGCCATAAATAATATAATACAATATAATTATACAGATTCCATGATGGCCACTACTTACTTATATGAAAATCATACCCACATTGCTTTTTGTACCAGTATCTGGAGGTCCACAAGACTGTAAATGAATTCCTCATTTTGTACTGCAGTTCTTCAAAGTGTGTACAAAATGTATGCATTGAGGGAAATACTGTATTGTTATGGTGGATCATAATGAAAATATGTTTATCGGAAAATTTGAACATGTATGTACAATGTATGTATGTAAAATGTAATGTGTAATATATGCACAGATTATGTACTGCAAATGGTCTGTTTTTCAAATGAACAAAATACACGAAATATATTGTTAGATTATATTAATCTATGACAAACATATTTTTTCTGGGCATGTCTTTAAAAAATATGAATAGATGCCAAAATAGAAGGGAATGAACCTGTGGCTAGAAATGATAAAGAGTGAAATAAAAACATGTACTTTTTATGTTGGGACAATGCATATATTTGACATTCGGTATTTAATGTAAATCCAGAAGCTTCCTCTAGTAAAAGTTACATCACAGAAATCTGACTTTAAATAACTAAAAATGAGGCATTGTTGAGATAAATTAGGAGGAACATATAAATATAGGCTTCACCCAATTTTAATAAGAACTAGGACCTGAATCAAAGACATATTTTTGAGTGGAACTACATAATAATTGGATATAGACACATATTAAATAATATATTAAAGTTAAAATTATTATTTTAAAAAAATTGCATGAGCTTCAAGCATCTGTTGTGTACATCTTTTGTTGTGTTGCATTGTAACCTTCAGCCTCCAGAGAGAAAAAGCAAGTTGCCAATTCAGCATTATTCATTGATCAAGGGAACCCCACATGCTCTTTTTTACAGGACAGGCAAGGGTGTGCCTGAAGCTACAGGATTGCAAAATGTCTTAGCTAGATGCATTACCAAATGTTGAAATGATCTCTTATAGAAGGGAAATTCCTTTCTGACCCCTGAAGGCATTCAGCATATGCCCTGAAGCGTGAGAGTTCTCTTACAGCTAAGTTTCTTCTTAATGGGTTTCCATAAGCTTTAACTTGAGCTATGTAGCCTACGTTCTCAGCACAGACAGCAAAATGTTTGATAATGGAAAAATCTTGTGTCAGATTCATAGGAAGGTCTGCCTTATGAAACTGACTGAAGAGGCTTTGTTGTTCCTGTCTTGAAATCAGTTCTATTCTGAAGAAGAAACCAAGTGTGTGTGTTCTCACCATCACATGAGATAAATGGAGAACTTCAGAATGTTGCATGAGACAGAATTTCAGATTTAGCAGTGATACTACTCATAGGAATATTGAACTCATTTCACTTTGGCTTAAACTTCATATTCTTCATGGAGGGGGGGAGTCACTAAACCTTAAACTTGTAGCACGTCAGAAGAAAGTGAATGCTTGAAATTCTAGGGTTTGAAATTAAAAATTGCAAACAGAGCTTTATGGTTGTTTAACCAGAGTTGGTGTCACTAGCAAACTTCTTTTGAAAGCATCAAGCAAAAAATGTGCATCTAAGTAGGTAGCAAATTGTGGAGAAAAGATGGGGAAGTATCATTTGAACTCCAAGCCAAAACAAATGGGAAATTAATCCTTTCTTGATCCTTTCATCAGTAGGGTTAGGAGTGGTTGTTGAGAAACTGGGGCCATGTTATGTGGCTCCTGGTTGCATTTAGATTCATATTTCCACAACCTAGTGGTTTTCTCATGTACTGTTCACTCCTGGATTTTCCCCCCAGAGATAAATTCTTAGATCTCTTAATTCAACAATTGAAGAGAAGTCACAATTTTCTCCTACTATTTTCTCTCTCTTATAAATCTTCTTGCTATGGCGTATACTAGGATCTCTGATCAACTACAGCAAGGGGAGAAAAAAGGGCTGGGGAGAATACTGATTGAAGAAACTGCATCTGCCTTATCTTCTGCTTCATCTGGAGGCTTAAGGAATATTTATGCTGCTCAGGTCTGAATCCATCAATTCTAGGCTTGGAAAATCTTACAAATATGCCTCCATTAGAGAAAATGAATCTATCAAAGATGGAGAGAGAGGGGGGG